GAGCCATGGATGACTATGAAGAAGGTGAAATGAAAACTCATGATTGAAAGGAAATTAAAGGATGAGGCTTCCCCCATCTACTTGTCACCCAATAAACAATGTAACTAACAATGTTATTGCTCTTTAGGTGATATGCAGGTGATAGCTGTTGGTTGCCTCCCAAAAAGGGAGGTTTTTCTGGTTTAGAGAACAGCAGTACAGTTTGTAGGTGTTCTCTCAGATGGCCTATATTGGATATCATTTGCATTTCTATTATAAACTAAATGTGGCATAATATAAGACGCTCTAAGCCTCATGATGAGAGGTTATAGGTACTAGGTACTACTGCTAGGTATCCAGTCTCTCGTGCAGGCTCAGAAGATAGCAGCTGCAGCAGCAGTAAATATATGTATTATGCATAAAGGCTTGGTCCCCATCATGCTGGGGGCTGTACAGAGAAAACCTGCTCTGAAGGGTGTGCGATCTAAAGACACAAAGACCCAGATCCTCCAAAGCATTTATGTGCCTAACTCTCATTTAAATCAATAAAAACAACGAGGAGTCCTTGTGGCACCTTAGAAACTAACAAATTTATTTGGGCATAAGCTTTTGTGGGCTAGAACACACTTCGTCAGATGCACTATCTGATTTATTTGGGCATAAGCTTTCTAGTCCACAAAAGATTATGCCCAAATAAATGTGTTAGTCTCTGAAGAGCCACAAGGACTCCTCATTGTTTTCGCTGATACAGACTAACACTGCTACCCCTCTGAAACATTTAAATCAGTGGCAGTTAGGCACCTAAATATCTAAATAAGACAGAATTGGGGATTGTGAATCCCACTTACAAACAAAGTTCCCAGCAGCGATAATGAAGGTTACAGGCCAGACTCCATATAGAATTCCCAACCTGGTCTATGCTTTTAGCTTCCGAAGGTTCATGGAAACGGCCATACTGCGTCAGACCAGTAGTCCGTCTTTCTCAGTATCCTGTCTTCTGACAGTGGCCAGTGTAAGATGCTTCCAAGGGAATGAACAGAACAGGGCAAATACCAAGTGATCCATCCCCTGTCATCCAGTCCCAGCATCTGGCAGTCAGAGGCTTAGGGACACCTAGAGCATGGAGTTACATCCCTGACCGTATTTGCTAGTAGCCATTGATAGACCTATCCCCCCATGAACTTATCTAATTTTTTTAAACCTTGTTATAGTCTTGGCCTTCACAACATCCTCTGGCAAGGAGTTCCTCAGGTTGACTGTGTGTTATGTGAAGAAGTACTTCCTTTTGTTTGTTTTAAACCTGCTGCCTGTTAATTTCATCAGGTGAACCCTGGTTCTTCTGCTATGTGAAGGAGTAAATAACACTTCCTTGTTCACTTTCTTCACACCAGTCAAGATTTTATAGACTGTTATCATACCACCCCCCCCCCCCGCCCCGTCTTCTCTTTTTCAAGCTGAACAGTCCCAGTCGTTTTAATCTCTCCTTGTATGGAAGCTGTTCCATACCCCTAATTATTTCCAGTTTTAATATATCTTTTTTTGAGATGGGGCAACCAGAACTGCACACAGTATTCAAGGTGTGCACATCCCATGGATTTATATACTGGCATTATGATATTTACTGTCGTCTTATCTGTCCCTTTTTATCTTTATCCTTTATCTGTCCCTAGTCCTTTCTCCTCCCTGCCACACTGCTCTCTAGAGACTCTTCCTTGAAAATCTGGTTATGATCAGAAAAAAGACTGTAAAAATGGCACTTTCTTTCTCAATGAGCCTGTCCACTCCGTGTTTTCTCAGTCCCATGTGCTGGCTTTAGTCCCCAAAGCATCTTTTTACTGCTTTTTATTCCAGTTAGCATTCAGGATCACCAGTATAATTGAGGGCAGAATTTGGCCCCCGGGGTCTTCCTTATTGATGAAACCAGAAAGAACACAGCCACTCATATCACAGGTTGAGTCTGTAGATTTAGTGGTTAGAAAACTGAACTAACCTCCTCGGGAAATTCTAAAGAGTTAAACTGCGGTTCTACTTTGGAGAGTAACTCAGCAAGGGGCCCGTTGTGAGAGTATCCGCCAAGTGAGGCTCAGCCCGTGTCCCAAGGCTGGCACCTCTGCAATGCTAATTCTCATTAGGAAGGTCTGCCTAGTGCACTATTCCTGTCTGATTTATGATTAATGATCGATAGTAGATCTTTCTGTCTGGATTTATCCTTCCAAAATTGGTGAGGACCTGGCTTAATTAGAATTGGGATGAGATAAGGTATGGACGTGTGAATATTAAAGTACCTTCAACAGAAGGTAACAATGTTTTACTTAAGTTTTTCTCCTCTAATAGTTTGAAAGTCAAATTCTTAACATCATTTGGAAGAAAAGTACGTAAATACTTATTAAATGTAGTGGAAAATCATTGTGGTGTTTTAAAGGAATTTCTGTGTGTAATTCATGTTCTGAACATCATTATGATCCCCCTCCTAACCCAAGACTTTGGCAGAATCTGTCTCTAGCAGGCAAACACTGGGAACAATATTTGAACTTAATTTTATCTGAAAACAGTTGCATCCGTTTCTGAACAGTAGTTTTATACCTGCTTTTTTAATTACATGTCTTTCCACAGCCAACAGCACCCTGACTTAAACTGTGAAGTCTTTACCCTGTTGTGTATATTACTACTTGATGTCTATAAAATCAGGTTTTAAAAAATAGGTAATGTGTAAAGCTGTGGGGGTAATAGCGACACTGGGTCGCTGCTGTCATGAGGCCTGACTTTAGACTGATTGACAGTCATGCTACTGTGTTTTCAAGCTATGATGAAAAAATGTGTTTTACTTTTTTCATGCTATGAGCTGCTATTTTTAAACAGTCCAACTATAACAATAGTTGCAGTATTTTTACACATAGGTCACATGGGATATTTTAGCTCCCGGGTGATAAAATAAGTACAGGTCTAGGATTAATGCTGGTGACACTTTACTGCCTTGAACAGAGCAGCCCATCACAGTGTTAAAGACCAGGAGATCTCTGCTTGGCTTCTGTAAATAGCCAGTAGTCCCAGATTCAGTCATTTTAATTATCCTTTTCTCCCCGACAGCAATAGAATCACTTGCCTTATTTTCAGAAATGATTTGGGGGATTGGTTAGCAGCTCCTTTAGGGATTGTTTCGTTCATTTTTAATATTGCTCATTTTCTCTGTGATAATCTAACCAGGAAACAAAACGAAGCAGGATATTGGGTTGGATGCCACTTAAATGTTTTGAAATGGACCACGGTTTTGGTTTATACCCAGGAATAGTGATTTTGTGGTCACTGCACTGTTTATTACCCTCAAGTAGCACATAGGGGTCAGCACTCCCCTCTGGTTAGAAGCCTGGGAAAAGCAGTGGAGGAAAAACACACGACAAAGGGCCCAGACATGCAGCAAAGTGGAAGGTGCAGCTATGTGACATGCTGCGTCTCCACACAAGCCTTCAGGAGCACCCAGCTTAGACTTAAGGGCTCAGTGGGGCTGGATGGGAAATAGCCAGGCTGTTTCCCATGTTCTTTTAAGGTGAAATTTAACTCTGTGCAGAAGCACAGGTCAGCACCTATGCACCACTTAAATCCTCCAAATAGGATATTTTAATGGTGTATCGGCCTTCTGCTGGCCCGCTGCACAGAGGAAATATTTCCCTGCTTGGGATCTGGTTTACGGTTGAGTGAAAATTAATGCTCTTCAGATCAGCTTGAACTCCCCTGTGTCTTTCTTTCCCAATAGGACAGGGGTAGTGTACGGTTGAGAAGGAGGCAGCCGTTGGAGCCTGGCCCCTGGATGAAGCCAAAGAGCAGGGGTTGGCTGTCTCTGTAGACAGAATCCCTACTGGATTCTCCCATGGGGGAAGGGTCTCTGTGCTGTGCTTTCTGCAGCCTCTTCCTGGCTGCATTTCCTTTTCTCCAGAGATGGGAATGTGGCAGCAACTCCATGATTTAACACCTGCTACACCTTTCAAGTGCTTTGTCCCTTGTTGGTACTCTGTGGGAGAGGGAGGATTTGGGGCAGAGGATTTGTTGGAGATGTTAAACTGCATCATCAAAAACTGGCATGGAAAACAACTCACCAAGATGCATAAATCTGGGGAACGTGCTGTTCTACGAGTGATTGTGCACATATACATTCCATTGCAGGTGGTATGTGTGCCCAGTGCACTCGAGTGAGACTTTTGCCACCAGTACCACCAGGTGGTGCATGTCCCCCTGCTGGACTGTCCACCTGGCTTCCATACCTGTGCTACACCTGCCAGCAGATTTTTTTTTGTTTTCTCTGTCCCTCTGGTTTCCTGATTTTTGGAATGTTTATTTGCCCTCTTATTCTGACCCCGTACCTGTATGAGATCTCACTGAGTCTTCTCCAGACTGATAGGATCCACCTTTCATCCTATGGCGATAAAAGAAAGACAATGAAAGAAAGACAATGACAACATGGGGAGGGCCTCACTCTCACTACAACAACACACCTGAAAACACTTGAGGAACAAAGACTGAACTGTGAGAAATGATGATCCCAGGCTAATATCTTTAGCCTATGTCTGAAAACCTGGGAAAGCCAAGGCAATTTGTGCCTTTAGAATCTGCCAGTCTGTTTATCACTCAGGGTGAGATTTTGCTAATTTGTACCCTACCTAGCTAGTGTGTCAAACTCAGTTTGCAGGTTTTGTTTATTTACTAAAGTAATCTGCTTTGTTCTGTTTGCGATCCCTTTAACCACTTAAAATCTACCTTTTGTAGTTAATGTTATTTTGTTTATTATTAAACCCAGTTTATGTAATTTCTAACAGGGTGGGGGGAGAAGTCGGGCTCATCTCTCTTCACATTGAAGAAGAGGGCGGATTTTTCTGAGCTTGTGCTGTGCAGATTTTTCTATACAGGGCAAGACAGTATTATTTTCAGTTTATCTCCCAAAAGGGCTGTGCACATGAGTGCTGGGGGAGTCCTCTCACGCAGAGCTGACTTCAGTCTTTGTCCTCGGCGGGGTGTGGCCCTACCTGTCTGTGTGTGCTGTCAGAGGCCAGAGAGCCTAATTCAGCAGAGCAGGGAGAGGGAACCCAGGCTGGTTGAGCAGGGGAGGCTCAGTGAAATCCCAGGACATCAGCTGGCATCCCAGGAGGGGGGTCCAACACGTCACAGCCAACTTCAGCAAATCAGTGTTTTACCATCTCTGTTCAGATGACCTGAAGCCTCCACCTGGAAGGAAACTGCTGATGAGTCACCTGCAGTGGAACATCTATGTGCACATTCTGTCAAAGGAGAAAAAAAATGGTTACTTATCTGTATAGTTACATTGAGAGATGTTGTGCACATGTACATTCCACGACCCTCTCACCTCCCCTGCTACTTTGGACGTTACATACTGTGATGTGAAGGAACGGAAACAGAGGTGGCAGACATGCCCCTTTGATGCCCCTGTTGGAGAGCAGTGGCGCATGTGCCGCCTAGTAGTATTAATGGTAAACTCTCAGATACCAGTGCATTGGGCACGCACACACCTGCAATGGACTATATATGGGCTCAACACATCTCAAAGAACAACAGTTACCGTGCAGGTGAGTGACTGTTATTTCAGCCGAAGCACTGCTGCAGGAGAGCGCTAAATGCAGCGCATGTAGCACTTAAAGAAATATATATGAGTTAGAGTTTAATGAGCATTACACAAGGTCTTCCCAAAGTATTGATTAACCAGCCATCAGGGACTTTTGAATTTTAATCACCTGTGAAAGCATGCAGGGTTTTAAAGATTTATTGATGGTCCACAGACTATGAATCAGGTTCTGGAAAAAACTACTGACTATCACAAACTCTTTGGTATAGCTATTTTGGCCTACAAAAAAGACTTTGAGTGTATGATGATAGAAGCAGTGTTGGACGCACTAGAAGAGGAAGGAATAGAAAAGCCACATATCCTGAAAATCAGCGGCCTGGCATTTAAGTTTGGCTACGAGAAAGTGAAAAGATCAAGTTCAAAAATGGAGTTACGAAAAAAGGAGTTACATCTCACTTAAATCCCCACTTCCTACTTGGAAAGCTTATTAGAAACTAGGAAGGGGAGAAAGAAGTGGCAAAAATAATAATATTAATTCTTAGCATTCACAGTCCTCTGTGCTTCACCTCTCCAGACCACGCGGTTAGTTCTCACAACCCCCTAGTGCTTTACCTTTGGGAAAAATGAGGCACAAGGCCCAGTCTGCAGCCCTTTACCCTGAGCAGTGTCATTAATCTCTAGGGGTATGGCAGCCAACTCAAGCCAAGGGGCTGTTTAATTGCAGAGTAAGCTTCCTGGCTCAGGCTGGAGCCTGTGCTCTGGGACCCTGCCACCCCGCAAGGCTGAGCCCACAGAGAGTTTAAGTGGTCACATCAAGGGTCCACAGAGAGCAGCATCACTAGTCGGGATTAGCAATTGAGAATCCCTGGCTTTGGGCCCATTTGAGCCACTAAATGTTTTCAGAGGACACTTCCATCCACTGAAACTTCTAAACACACCGGAACTATGATCAAATAGCTGAAAGGGAAGATCCATAAAGGTGGAGTTTGAATGCATACGAAGAACACCCAGATCACGTTTAACCCAAACATGGAAGTAAGAAAAAGTTACAGTGGATGTAACTCAGTTGAAAGCCAATTAAAGGTATGTCAGCTTGGTCAAAGGAGAGAAGGATCAAAGGTAAATTATAATTGTTAGAATTTCTGAAGTTGGTATCATATAGAACAGTCTTCATTTTTGCTTCAAAAACCCATGTCACACCTGCCAGGCTATTCTGAGTACAAACACTCAAGAAGATGAAACAAAAGCACTGAAGTTGGAAGACAAAGCATTGGAAGAGAATATTCCTGTTGTCACAATGAAGTCAGAAGCACAAACAATAGGAGAAGAGAGCAAACCAACCAATGTAAAGGAGCCCATGAAAACTCCGAAGAAACTAAACTAAAAATGACAGAAGATGGAGCACACGTGGTAGAATAGATCAGTGATGAAGTCTGGAAGCAATTATGTCACAGGGTTTGTAAGACCAACACTTGCAAACATAAAGAAGAACAGGAGGACTTGTGGCACCTTAGAGACTAACAAATTTATTAGAGCATAAGCTTTCGTGGACTACAGCCCACTTCTTCGGATGCATATAGAATGGAACATATATTGAGGAGATATATATACACACATACAGAGAGCAT